CAGTTCCCACCAGGTAGTCTTGGCCCCTAGATCCCAAAGCCCATCATATGCCTCCATTTATCACTACTTCTTCCCTTCTTCCTACTGCTGTTTTCTGGTCACCTCACCATTTCCTATTTTTGACTTCTCAAGTCTTTTACAATCTACATGACCAAAGTTCCGTTATGGAAGAGAGGGAGGAAGAAAGCTAGAGTTTTGACTCTAGAGGACCCTTGATCGGATGCTACCACCCTAGTTTCACGACAGAAAAAAAAGAGCAACAGCATCAGTGAAGTTTCATATTGCTTTGTTTACAAAGCATGCCAGGATGATTAAACGTAAAAAGGAATGATAAACTACCTAAGCTTTCTGTAGGCTCCATGGTTAAAAATAAAGAGTGACTTGTGTATTAAAACAAGCCACAGAAACACCAGACATTTAATGGAAAATAGTCTTTTTTCAACAAATGGTGTTGGAAGAACTCCATAGCTACATGCAAAAGAATGAAATTGGATCACTACTTCACACCACAATAGATGTGAACCTAGTGGCCTTCACTTATGTAATGTTTTTCTGATATATGGCACCAAAGCACTAGCAACAGAAGAAAAAAAAATGCCTTCCTCAAACTGAAATTTCCCCTTCAAAGCACATTAACAAGAAAATGAAGACAACTCACGAATGAAAAAATTATTTACAGCTAGGCGTGGTGGCGCACGCCTTTAATCCCAGTACTTGGGAGGCAGAGGCAATCAGATCTCTCTGAGTTCGAGTTCCAGGACAGAGCTGTAACACAGAGAAACCATGTCTCAAAATAAATAAATAAATAAATAAATAAATAAATAAATAACAAAAAAAACCCACCAAAACAAAAAAAAAAAAAAACAACAACACAATAGACATGTTAATGTGTTCAGGAGACTTCAGTACTTGACAAAGTACTATAGGCAACTAAAGAATGTTGAGAGTGGGAGAAATAGTCTTCCCTAGGGAAGAGCATAACTGACTAACCTACACATAAGTAACAATGACTGAGCAGGTTATTTTATATATTTAATATACAAGCCAGGCAGTGATGGCACACACCTTTAATGCCAGCACTTGGGAGGCAGAGGTATGTGGATCTCTATGAGTCCAAGCTCAGCTTGGTCTACAAAGAAATATCAAAAGCACAATGAGGTACCACTAGAAAGCTATGTTCAAAAAGAAAACTGGGGGCGTTGGTGGTACCACGCCTTTAATCTCAGCACTCGGGAGGCAGAGACAGTCGGATCTCTGTGAGTTGGAGGCCAGCCTGGTCTCCAGAGCGAGTGCCAGGATAGGCTCCAAAGCTACACAGAGAAACCCTGTCTCGAAAAACCAAAAAAAAAAAAAATAAATAAAAATAAAAAAAGTAATGGGGGCTGGAGAGAGGTTAAGAGCACTGACTGCTCTTCCAGAGGTCCTGAGTTCAATTCCCAGCAACCACATGGTGGCTCACAGCCATCCGTTATGAGACCTGGTGCCCTCTCCTGGAAGCAGAATGTTGTATACATAATAAATAAAATCTTAAAAAAAAAAAAAAAAAAAGGGGG